CGATGACTCGGTGGATAAGATGCTGAGCTTGTCGATCAGAAAGGTCAGCAGTTCTCCATTTCAAATCCCTAGTGCCGCAGAACGGAGTGAGCTCCTGTTACTTGTCCCAGCTTCTGCCAACCTAGCAGTTTGAAAGCAAGTAAAAAATGCAAGTGGAAAAATAAGGACCACTTTTAGTGGGAAGGTAACAGTGTTTGGCGTTTAGTCATGCCGGCCACATGACCATGGAATTCTCATCAGACACACTGGCTCTTTGGCTTTGAAATGGAGATGATCACTGCCCCCTAGAGTCAGGAACAACTAGCCCATATGTGCGAGGAGAACCTTTACCTATGGAGAAACTTAATTGTCCAGCGAATGGTTGTCCGAAAGATGCTTTCTTCCAAAAAGTTTTCTTGTTTTGCTAGACCTTTTGCTTCTCATCTAAGAAGCTTCCTTAGTTCTGACTGAATAGTGGAGAATGGAAGGATTTATATCCCAAGGACTAACATCCACGTGACTTCAAGGAATATAAATCCTTCCATTCTCTATTATTCAGTCAGAATTGAAGAACCTTCTTGAATGAGAAGAAGTCTTCTAGCAAAACAAGGAAGCTCAGTTGCCTTTTGAAAGAAAGCTTATTTTATGATGTTGGAATGACCGTAGCTAACCTGCTACAAAAGCGTGAACATTAAGTAACAAACTGTACAACAAAGAGCCCGGTCAAAAGATTATTTCTTTTATTTCTATACTTAACAGATCTTTCTGGTAAGAAATAAATAAAAAGAAAATTGCTTGGAAATACTTGAATGATAAAAATGGGAGGCAATGACCATGGATGACGAAGTCCAGAGTCCTTCGGTATTGGGCGGCATATAAATTTTAATAATAAATAAATAAATGGCTTCTAAAATTCAGTGAATTAAGCAAGGAAATGGCAAGATCAAAGTTTTGAAACCTTCCAAGTAGATTTACAACTACATGTAATGCTAATTCTGTCCACAAGGAGGCAAGAAGGAGGCAAGAAGGAAAGATTTTATGTACATTTGGGATGTATTGTTTCACTAAAGGAAGCTTGTCATGTTGCCACACTCAATTTGCAGAATAGACATTGTCCAAATTCATAAGGGGTAGCGTGTGGCAACTCTCTCCTCTCTATTTTAGAAACTTTCTCTCTTCAGTTACTCTGATCAGAAATTGAAACGTTTCACAAATTGTTGTGGAAAGCTTCCATGAATTCTGGAAGTTTGGGAAATATTCAAGGGGTAGGCCTTGAAGAGTGTTCGGAGACTCCAGCTGGTCCAGAATGCAGCCGNTTTCAGACGCCGCAATACTTGGCAAGAATGCAGGAATGAACTAATTGTCTCCTGCAAACTCCACTCCCCTTTCGCTCCTCTTTTATTCCCTATGGAAGGGGCCAGTCACCATCCACCTGTGGCCTTACTCCCAAGTTGACCCTTGTTCCTTAGCTGTTCCCTTTGTCTGGCAACTATGCCAGAACAGTCTCCAGCTGTTCGTCCACCTCACTGATGTCTGACTCTGAAGGCGACTGATAACTGTCAGACGGCCCTGGCCCCCTCTCTGCCTCCAACACAGAGCCCTCATCAGAGCCTTCCTTAGACTCCAGGACTGGCTCAGGTTCCTCCCCAATCTCCTCACTCTCTGAATCTGCTGCCAGCTTTGCTGGTTGCTAGCAGGCCACAACAATAGGTAGATGTGCTGTTGGAATTGACTGATCTTGGCATCCCACTATAAAAGCGGAATTATTTCCCAGAATAAGGCTTTGTCCTGCTGAAATGTTAGCCCAGTGGTTTTCAACCTATGAACTGCAGACCACGGGGGGAGAGGGGAACTCGATGTCATCACAGGGGGTCCACGAAGGCTTGAAGAAATCTTATGATTTAAGTCTTGAGGGGGGGGGGGTCCATGGCCAGAAAAGGCATTTAAATGGGGTTTGTGGTGAAGAAAAGGTTGAGAATCACTGTGTTAGGCCATTTTCCTTCCGAATTTGCAACCTTACAGTTTAAGGCAAATCTTCCTCAAACCCCTTCAGCTCATCGACTCCTTCGTGAAATTTATGATCGCTTATCAACTCCCCAAACATTTACAATATGAAAATAGCAAATAAAACTTTAATTCACAGTACTACAAATCATCATCATAATAATAGCAAGAGCAGCAACTCTCTGGATAGTCCCATCAACCCTTTGGAACCTCTGTTTAAGGCAGGGATGTCCAACTTGTTAGTTTTAAAACCTGTGCACTTCAACTCCCAGAATTCCCCAGGCAGCCATGCCGCTGCAGGAATTCTGGGAGTTGAAGTTCCCAGGTCGTAAAGGGGCCTTAGTTGCCCACTCCTGGACTGGTGGTACAGGGAAAGCCTTGCTAATGCTTTCCTGGTGCGAGGGCTCATGGGATACCAGGCGTTCTTGGGGAAGGAAGGAAGGAATTTTATCATAAAATGGGTGCCGCAGACAAGAGCAGTTGAGAAATGCTGGCAGGGCAATTCTGTGAGTTGAAGTCTACAAGTCTTAAAAGTTGCCAGAGTTGGGCATCCATTTCAGGAGTTTTAAGATCCAGATGGACTTCCAGGTCACCTGGTATTTTCATCAAGCAAACTAAGCCAAACAGTATGAAACAACAATGTGGCCTGTGTGGTATAAACCAGTTGTTTACCTTGGCAACCTTAAGACTGGCAGACTTCGACTCCCAGAATGCTTCAGCCAGCTATGAATTCTGGGAGTTGAAGTCCGCAAGTCTTAAAAGGTTGGTGACCCCTGCTTTAAAGCATGCGCGTATGATAAGGCTGGTAATGAGAGATTGTAACTTTAAAGCAGTGTTTGTCCACCTCAGCAACTTTTAAGATGGGAGGACTTCAATTCCCAGAATCCCCCCTGCCAGCAGGGGAATTCTGGGAGTTGAAGTCCACCCGTCTTAAAGTTGCTGAGGTGGACAAACACTGATTTAAGCAATGGGAATCCATCCATGGGAATCGGGGTATCTTTTAATTTCTAATCTGATTTCCTAAATACTACACTGATCAGGAGTCACAGTGACAACAATTTTGAGGCATGTAGATGGGTGGAGGGGATGGGGAGATTCTTGCATCCCAATTCAACAAGAGAGGCCTGATTTTCTGTGTGTTTGCATTTGTCAAGAAGATGCCTGTTATACATTCACACACACTCCAGGGCCCTTTTGAGTTTCCTTGATCCAGAGACACTTGTGATATTGCTTTGTTTTTTTGGTTTTTTTGTTTTAAAAAAACCTTATCCTATTCAATTTTAATGGCACGTTTAGGAGGTTGGAAAGTTGCAAAAATTGGCAATGAAATACAGTTGAACCTGGCTTTCAGTACAGGACATATTTCTGCCCTTAACAGAACGGAGAACATGTTGAGACACATCGGATTCATTCCGAACACACGGTGGCAGCTTCTAGCTATATTTGCATTAAATTCCCTAGCTTCCCCATTCTTTCCTTAAATACACCGAACAGCTTTTGAAAAACATATGGGGCAGGGGTGAAATGCTACCGGTTTGGACCGGTTTGCCTGAACCGGTAATAAAAACGTTACTGGTTCGCCCGAACTGGTAGTAAAATAAGTGAAACCGTTTTTTCCAACGATCAGTTGTGACGCACCATTTATGTTAGCTCGAAAGCAGGATTTCCTGCTTTCGAGCTAACATAAATTGCGCGGCACAGTGGATTCCCCCTCGCCTTACCTTTTTGATGCTCTGCACATGCGCGGGAGGTCCTGTGCATGCGCAGAGGTGGTGCGTACGAGCGAACATGCGCACGCACATGCGTGCTCAAATTGCTACCGAGCCAATAGCAAAGGTAAGTGTATTTCACCCCTGATCTGGGGATCAGAAAGATATCGCGCTACAGGTAATCCTCGACTTATCATCATTTGTTTAGCCACTGCTCAAAGCCACAACAGCCCTGGAAAAAACGTGACTTCCAGCCAGTGGAAATCGCACTTATGACTTTTGCAACATCCCCACTGTCACATGATCAGAATCCGGGTGCTTGGCAAGCAGAATATATTTATAATAGTTGCAGCGTCCTGGAATCCCGTGGTCATTGTTTGCAACAAGGAAAGTGACTACGGGAAGCCGGATTAATTTAACAACTGTAGAAAAAGTCCCCCAGGCACAATTCACATATCAACCGCCTTGCATACTAACGGAACCTCTGGTCTCAACTGTGGTCACAAGCTGAGGACTACTTGTATTTAAAATCCTGTATTGCGAGTATTAGCCTCAGAGCTGCTAAATTCTGCTGCTAAAACTCCTATGAATGTTATTTGCAGGGGTGGGAAAAGAATGTTTAAAAAAAGGAGGGGGGAATCAAGACCGTGACCACCTAATCAAAGCCCCACCCCTTTTTGTACGTGTCACAAAGAGGCAGGGCTTTGGTTGCATCCGCTTGATGGCCGATCTCTTGACTTAGTTATCTCTTCCCTCAAGATGTCCTTGATTATTTGGCCCGGGATCTGTAATTTTTAAATTTGTTTTTCACGTTGAGGATAATGTTATTTGTGGTTCATCATTGCTGGAAGAGCAGCAGGGGAATTCTGCTTTCTTCCTTCATTCCTTGTTATCAGGACCGAATGTATGAATGTACTCCAAAATGTGTGTTTGTGTGAAGCTGAACATTCTGTAAATAGACCATTACGAACTGTGTAAAACCAGTCCTTGTTTTGACTTTCTAAGAATTATAAATACCATGTTACAAAACGATCTTTTTTCCTTACTTTGAAGTGCGACACGAAGCAGCGATCAATCCGTCTCAAACGATGAAACCGAAGCGTGAAAAATCAAAGGAGATTTGGCGTTAATCCGTCTCAAATCCATCATTTCTTTCTTTTCTTTGGTTAAATGCAGCAGCAAGATTATTGGGAGGGCAGGCAAGGGACCTTTTGACCATTTTTGAAAGAAAAATCTCCTTTTTTGAAAGCTAAACACCGATTAGAAGGAGCCTATCGAACGGAAAATAGGCAAACGCTGCTCTCTTCATGGACACATTAGCAGTTTTGCATGCTAAACTAGTCAGAAGTATGCCATGATCCATTATTTTGCTAAGTGTCCAGGCAGTGATCAGATGCCCAGGCAAACTGGCTCTTTTGGATCCAGAGACAATGAACTTTCCAATAAATAAAGGGGTGTTAAGCTTCAGTATTAGCGCTAGTAAATAGATCTAAAAACATGACATATAAAGCATACATGCAAGCAAGGTGACATCCAAATCTCTTATGTCAGGAGTTCCTTAATAACGACAGCAGAGAGACTCCAAAGGCAGTCTGGTTCCACAAAACTCAGTTCACAATAATCAACAACAAGACCCAAGTTTTATCAGAACTTAACAGAATGACTTCATAGCCCGGTTTTTGTAGTCACTAGACTGCAAGATTTGACCTTGGCTGAATGGCACATGATAATGGGGTAAGGAACTGTATGTGTGAAGTTTTCATGGCTTTGCAGCTATGAATAGAATAGAATAGAATAACAGAGTTGGAAAGGACCTTGGAGGTCTTCTAGTCCAACCCACTGCTTAGGCAGGAAACCCTACACCACTTCAGACAGATGGTTATCCAACATCTTCTTAAAAACCTCCAGTGATGGAGCCTTCACAACTTCTGGAGGCAAGTTGCTCCACAGATTTATTGATCTAACTGTCAGGAAATTTCTCCTTAGTTCTAAGTTGCTTTTCTCCTTGATTCATTTCCACCCATTGCTTCTTGTCCTACCCGCAGGAGCTTTGGAGAATAGGTTGATTCCCTCTCCATTGTGGCAGATCCTGAGATATTGGAAGACTGGTTTTCCCTCTTCTTTATTCAACAGGCAAGAGTTGAAAAAGCAAGCAGATCAGCTCAGAATTCGACCTCACACCCTAGACTTTTCTTAATATGAAGGAGAAATCAAAATTGCCTCTAATCTCTTTGCAATAACAATGGTCTTCAGCATTACCGCTACATCCATCTGTTAAAAATATATATAACTTTCATTATTGAAGAATCAAGTTAGAACCCAAAGCAGGTGACTAGATCAGAATTATATTACTGACCATTATTTTCCTAAATATGGTACTGAATATAACTCCAATTCCTGATAGAATAAATTCCGTTAGGCCTTTGTTATCGCCCAGCCAGAAAGCTCAGAACATATTTATTATGACTTTTTAAATTATGTCTATGGAGATTCTAGGGACGCGATGACTCGGTGGATAAGATGCTGAGCTTGTCGATCAGAAAGGTCAGCAGTTCGGTGGTTCAAATCCCTAGTGCCGCANTGCAGTACTGCACTCTAACCACTGCGCCACCTCGGCTCTATTATTATTGTTGTTGCTGTTGTTGTTATTTCTATATTGTTTGATTTTCTGTAAGCTGCCTAAAGTCACTGTGAGTGAATAGGCAGCTATATCCATTTCCCTAAATAAATAAACACCTCTAAAGATGACCATGGGGTCACCACTGCAACAGTGGTGTGAAAAATGGTCATACATCACTTTTTTCAGTCCTGTTGTATCTTTGAATGGTCACTGAATGAATTGTTGTAAGCTGCCGACTACCTGCAGCTTGTTGAATCTGGTGAATACAATTTGGCGTAAAGAAATAATAAATTGGGGTAAATAAATAGCAAAACACATTTTGCTTAACTATGATTTGCAGAGCAAAGACAATTACATAAATTTATCCAAATGGCTAAACTCCTAGAGTTTGTAAACTACATTGGCTGGAGATTGACATAGCAGGCTAAGCTTAAATGAAACTAACCAGATGATGTCAGCTTGGGGTAGAAATGAAGCTGCTGGGCACACAAGATCAGCCTTGAAAAAATATCAAGGCATAATGTGATGCAGGAATCCAAGCTAATTCTAAGAAGTCACGGGGATTACCAAAAAAAAAAACACCTCTTTATTTCTCTTTCCACTGTTATTTCCAGAAAGAAAATATCTATTATATCAGCATGATTGAAGCTGCTTTGACGGTTCTCTCCCAAGGTAGGTACCAGGTATCTTCTACCTATTCAGATGATTGCTAAACTGGAATCCACCTCTCCCCGAGATATTGTCACAACTAAAAGCTGGATTACAAATACAGCATAGAATCATAGAGCTGGAAGGGACCTTGGCGGACGTCTAGTCCAAACCCCTACTCAAAGTAGATCTTACATCCAGGATGGCAAACCTATGGCACACAGAGCCATCTCTCCGGGCACACGAGCCCTCGCCCATTGCTCTTCTGGATTCTGGCACTCCGGCCAGCTGGTCTTCACGCATGTAGAAGCACTAGAAACTGGAAGAGCAGCGCCCCGGTGCGCATATGCACCAGCCACCTGCTCTTCTGGTTTTTGGTGCACATGCACATGTGAAGACCAGCTGACCAGGGTGTATTAGTGTGCTGGAAACTGGAGGATCATCTTCCCAGTGTAGACATGCACGCCGGGAGGCTGCTCTTCCAATTTCCGGCACACACATGCTCCCGTTTCGGCACAGTCTTATATGATCCCAAATGGTTTTCCAATCTATTTTTAAAAACCTTCAGCGATGGAGCATTCACAACTCCAGGATGTAAGCTATCCTGCGGATTTATTTTTTTCATTAGCAGAAAATTTCCCCCTTACTTCTAGGTTGGATTTCTCTTTAACAACCTTCCACCCATTAATTCTTTATTATACCCATGAAGTCCTGCCCTCTGGTGCTTTGGAGAATAAGTCCATCTCCACTTCTCGGTGACAGCCCCTCGAACACTGGAAGACAGATGTCAAGTCCCCCTTAACCTTTCTATTTGATAGGCCTAACTCCTAACTAACTAACTGACATGCCTAACTCCATCGACTCTCTCTATATCATACGATTTAGCCTCCGGACCCTTCATCATCTTTGTTGCTCTTCTCTGTACACTTTCCAGAGAATCTCAGCATCTCTTTTGTATTGTGGTGATCAGAACTATAGCAGAATAGCCAGTGGTGGGTTCTGGATTCCGTTGCAACCGGTATACATGCGTAGTTACCACCCGTGACGCTCGAGCTGCTAGGCGGAGCATCGCGCAGGGGCTGTATGCTCTGTGCATGTGCGTGAAGGCTCCAGTTGGCTCAAATACAGGTAAGGAGGGTGAGTGGGCCCTCCGGAGCACCATACCAGAACGGTACCTGGTGCACCCAACAGGCACCGGGAGACCCGTACCGGGGTGTACCAGTCGTATCCCACCACTGAGAAGAGCTGAGTTGGTCTAGAATAGCTAAACTCTGGAGATATCTAGCTGATCTTTTCAGATTAATCCAAGTCCAGCAACTTCAAAACATCTCTCTTCCTCCAGTCCAAATTAGTGGAGATTGTTTTTCTCACTGTCAGGGGATGTGTTTATGGAACTTTTATGGAATTCTACTAATTTGTCCTGCATTAAAAATGTAACTGTATATCACCACTCAGTACTGAAGCAGAACAGAATTCTATCATTCGGATCCCTCCCAAATTATACCAGCATATTTTTCAGACAGCCCAAGATCTGGAAGATTGCAGATTAACATCTGGCTGAGCCCAGAACCACAAGCAAAGCAACTTAGAATAGCCCAATGTTTCTCAACCATGGCCACTTTAAGATGGGTTGACTTCAACCTTCATGCTGGCTGGGAAATTCTGGGAGTTGAAGTCCACATATCTTAAAATGTCCAAGGTTGAGAAACATTGGCCTAGTAGTTCATGAGTCCCCCAACTTGGTAACTTTAAGACTTGTGCACTTCAACTCCTATTCTGAAAGTTGAAGTCCACAAGTCTTAAAGTTGCCAAATTTGGAGACCCTTGAACTAATGAAAAGAAGGACTAGGGGAGACATGATAGCAGTGTTCCAATATCTCAGCGGCTTCCACAAAGAAGAGGGAGTCAAACTATTCTCCAAGGCANTTAACTGCACAGTATTTAAGTGATTGTATAAAGGGAAATGAAAATGTAATAAAAGAATCTTTGACTTAAAAAAAAAGAAGCAATGGGTGGAAACTAATCAAGGAGAGAAGCAACTTAGAACTAAGGAGAAATTAGTTCTGACAGTTAAAACAATTAATCAGTGGAACAACTTGCCTCCAGAAGTTGTGAATGCTCCAACACTGGAAGTTTTAAAGAAGATGTTGATAACCATTTGTCTGAAGGGGTGTAGGGTTTCCTGCCTGGGCAGGGGGTCGGACTAGAAGACCTCCAAGGTCCCTTCCAACTCTGTTATTCTATCTACAGACTTGGCTACACGTTACACTTTATTTGCATGTGTTAGAATTATGTTTGTATGCAAGTGAAGGTTCAGTTTTGACTATCCAGGAAGTAGCTTGTCAGACAACTGGTGGTGGGAAAAGAAATCTGTTGTGAAATAACTTTTATCCAACTTTTTGTCCTTGACTTGCAACCATTCATTTAAGGACCGTTCGAAGCTACATCACTGAAAGAAAGTGACTTATGACCATTTTTTCACACTTACGACCTGACATGACCATATAATCAAAATTCAGATGCTTGGAAACTGGCATGTATTTCTGACAGTTGCGGTGTTTGGAGGGTCACATGACCCCCACTTTTGCGATCTTCTCACAAGCAAAATCAAGGGGGAATCCCAGATTCACTTCACAACCGGGTTACTAACTTCACAACTGCAGTGATTCGCTTAACAATTGCAGCAAGAAAGGTCGTAAAATGGGATAAAACTCATTTAACAACTGTCTCGTTTAACGGTGGGAATGTTGGGCTTCATTGTGGTCGTAAGTCAAGGACTATCTGTATTTAACCAACTATGTTGGGTCTGAGACCATCGTGTCCATTTTCTCCCTCTTTGGACTTTCGTAATGAGGGTTCCGGTCCTTAAGCAATCTTGGGATCCTAAGTGGTGCAAAAGGGAGAACTCATTTTAGATCCAAGCTTGATCAAATCCACCTTGGAAAAGAGCCACTGGCTGTGCCCCCCATGTGAGCAAACCATGTGCCCAGTTAAGTTCTGGTACGCTCATCTTCCTCACCCTGGGCGCTTGCCAGTGGTGGGATTCAAATAATTTAACAACCGGTTCTCTGTTATAATGACCAGCTGGGTAGGCATAGCTCAGTGGTCATGTGACAATGTGGCCATGGCCAACTCACGTCGATGGGCGCTTTGCCTTAGCTGTTACAATGTCATAAGGGTTAACCGGAGAGGCAGTTTCTGTAAGCAGAGCAATAAAAATTAGTCTAGAAACAACTCCAGAATGTTTCCTTCCTGCCTTCCTTACAGGATTAGCCCTGTAAAGTGGGGAAAAA